TACCTGGTGCCCTTCGGACACTGTGGACTTCAGCTCCCATCAGCACCAGCACCAGCCCTTGTGGTGAATGGTCAGGGATTATGGGAATTGCCCAGAACATCTGGAGGGCACCAGATTGCAGAAGGCTGAATTATCTGATCCACCAAAAAATGCCGAGAACTTCCGTTCTGTAACAGCCGTCCCTGCTGGCCCACCTGTCCATAGCCGCTTGCACTTATCACCTGGAGCTCTGGTGCAGGCAATGCCGCCTTACCTGAGCGCAGCTGCTCTTTCTCCCCCAGTGGCCTGTACTGTGCTATCCGCCATAGGGATAAACTGTGACCTACCGGCTGCACTTTTGGTGATTTGCGGAAGATCAGCAAGAGCTTCCGTGCTCCAGTCCTTTCACAATGGCAGCAAATGGCTTAGATCATGTCAGAAGGCAACTGAAAGCTTGGAGCAACTAGGAAAAACATACTTTAATGGGAAAGGCGTGTTGGCTCAGTTCAGTGCCAGTACTGAGATCCGATTCCTAGAATACACTCAGATGCACTCCTTTAATTTAACGGAGCTTTAAAGGCTTTGGTGATGCTTTCTCCCTGCCCCATTCACAGTGTCAAGAGTAGGCACGCTTGGGCCCTTGCCAAGGACCCACACCTCAACAGGGGCCCATTCACAACGGTCCTCCATCGCAACCTACTTGTTCACCTGCCTAGACAGGGGTGGTGGTGGTGGTGGTGAGTGGTCACGGTAGCAGTGAGGGAAAAGGCACAAGGAACAAACACTATTGACAGGGTGGTGAGAAGGCAGATTCACAGAGGGACCCATCAAATGCCTCTTGCCTCACAGCCCTCAAAAACGTGACGTCGGCGCTGGCCTGTATCTTGCTATTTGGTTAGAATCGGTTCAGCGCAGGGTCACAAGAATGGTAGTTGGGCTGGAAGGGACAGTGTATGAGGAGAGACTGAGGGAACGGGGTCTTTTCAGCCTGGAGGAGACTCTGAGGGGATCCATTAGCAACTTATAGGTAGGTGAGGGGATGGCCTGTTGAGGAGGGCTGTGACCTGTTCCTCCCTGCAGTGGAGAGCAGGATGCATTCCAATGGGGCAAAGCGCAAGGAACCAGGCCTCAGCCTGGATGTCAGGAATTACTTCCTGATGGTTAGGACCCCTAGGATATGGGGCAGGCTTCTGGGTGGGGGGGGGGGGTTGAGGCCCTATTAGTGAGGGTGCTCAAGAAAAGATTGGACAACCACATGTTCAGGATTACATGAGTGGAGCTGGCTGGAGCCGGGGCTCAGACCAGATGTCCCAGGAGTCCTGTTCTGACTCGCTTTGTTTCTGCATTTCTAAATGTAACTCTCAAATATTCTCCTACTACTTTTTCCATCTTTTTAATACAACTTTCTCTAGAAAACCCATTAGAAAAGGGCAGACGTGTGAACAATGCCACCTTATTGCTAGTGGTGGACGCCGTCTGACGAAAAGCTTCCCAAAGCACAACTGGCTCCGGTTAGGGGCTCATAGGGTTCCCATAAAAACCAAAGTGAATCGAGAAGCTTGACAGCTGTGCCCCCGATCTGGGGGAAAGGGGCAACAGTGAATGGAGGTGCTTCCCCTGTGCAGGAACACGTAGGGGCTGCTCCAGAGGATTCAGGGCCTCTCTCCTGGAGGCAGGTGCATCCAGACAATCCCTTACCAAGCAGGGACGAGGAACAGGTATTGACTGCTCTCTTATCAGCTGGCCCATTGCACCCTTGGGGAGATTAAAGTCCATGTTCGTGGAAGGTACAGCCGTGAGTGGCTGGCACGTTGAAGCTCAGCGGTGTGGCCGACACCAGGGGAGGCCATGGATATACTGGAGGTGGATGCCAAATACAGAAGGAAGGTTGCTGCTAATGTAAGCATTGGTTTGTGTTTTGGCCACCAGGGAGGGAGGGGAACCTGAGGCACCCAGGGAGAGGGCGTAGTGGTACTTATGCTAACCTGCTAGAAATCTGTCTCTGAGAATCCAGGGTGGTGTTACCTCCTTGTCAAGGCCCTCTTGTCAGGTGAGAAGCCTGAACTTTTAAATTTCTAGTTTTTTTGTTTATCTCTTCTTCATTAAGAATCTATTTTAAATAGGAGCTATGTAGCAAAATCTTTACGATGTAGTGAAGGGGGGTTGTTCGTTTGAGGGGGGTCGCAGCAGCTCATTGTTTTTAGGACTTATTTTTATGGTGTTATTATTTGCATTAATTTATGGTTTTGTTATAATCTGCCAGGGGAGGGGTTCCTGCTGTAAAAGGAAATACTGAAAAACAATAAGAGAGACCCTACTTTGAATCTGGAGAACCCAGATTCCTTCTCATGTACCAGATCTAGCTCTAGCCCTTATGGAGTTCAGATAGGCCATTGCATCCTGGCTTTTCTCTCTCATTTCTCTCTTGGGAAAGGCATTTTCTATCACCGAGATCATAATCAAAGAGGTTTGTGGTTAGGGCAAGCTGAGAAGCGGTACAAAACTTTTTATGAAGTCCCCTACTATGTCAAGGATGAAGTGTTGCGGTGAGGTAATTTCAAGCTCTGGACTAAATGGTATTTCTGCTAATGAAGTACAACTGGAATTCTCCAATTTATTAGGCCAAAGAAAACTCATGAATCACATCCTGGATTTTATTCCCAATGGTAAGTATTGAATATTAGTGTTTATGCTAGAAGAGTATTAGGTTTTTAACACACCCCTAGTTAATTTGCAACTGAATCAATTGCCCAGGATTTTGTCTGGAACTTACTTCATTACTGGAAAATAATATATTTAATGTAGATGAAGTCAAGTAATCAGCAAGGCAACCCATCAACTGGCAAATACATCAAAGAGGGAACATCACATTTTCTGGGATGTTGGGCATGAGGTATACCAATTTTATGTTTGCCTATCAGAACTCCTGGCATTTGATGCAGCACTCAGGAAAGGTGGTGGGTGTGGAAACCTGAGATACCAGAGACTTGGCATTTACAGTCAACACATCCAGCATGGAGCTACTTTGGGTTTAAAGCACATTAAATACGTTAATGAATGTCACCATACAGCCGACTGGAGCCGGGGTCAGACTAGATGGCCTGAGATGCCCCTTCTGACTCGCTCTGTTTCTATGTTTCTATGTATTTGAGATCAACAACATCATTTTTAGCCATTTGGTGGCAGACTTCCTTACCCAGTGCCAAGCTTTGCAGTCACTTCCAGAATTTTAGGCCAAGATGGAGAAGTCAAGGGGCAGAGTTGTATGGCTGGCCCCCACCTGCATGTCAGCTCAGTTCAGGTGTAATGCTGAAGTCCATTCTGACATCAAGCAGGGAACTGGTGAAAGTTGTTCTTCCTGGGAAAGGGCTGGGAAACAACTGACCACAGTGGGGTGGTCCAGCATCTGTTGTGCATTCAGACAGTCCCAGGTTCAGCGCTTAGCACCTCCAGGTAAGGCTGTAGAAGACCCCCGTCCCAAAACCTAGCCCCCACTCAGCCATGAAGTTCACAGGGTGCCTTTGGGCCAGTCACTCCCTCTCCATCTTCTAACTTATTTCAGAGTTGCTGTGAGGATAAAAGGGAGCTATGTAAGCCATCCTGGGTTCCTCAAAAGAGGAAAAACAGTGGGATATAACTGCAATGGAATCGCAATCCATATATACCAAAGTGATTGAGGCTCTGATCCTAAGTACTTTGAACTTGGAAAGGGACCCCATGAATCCAGCGGGGCATCCTGCTACATAAACATGGATTGAATGTTGCTGGCTCAGTAACAGCAGTCCAAAGGCTGGTTGGACTGAGTATGCCCTTGAAACTGATGGGATTAAAACTGGTCATGACTAACTTAAGGCCTGGCTATCTCAATGGGTCTGCTTTGAAGCTTGACTAAGACTGGGTCTAACCCACTTTTAAAAATACCGCAAATGCCAGGACAGGTGATCTATATATTAAAATGGGCCAGCCAGCCTTTGGTCAAACTGGTCAGGCCTTTAAATAATCGTGATGACGCCAAACCAGTTTCCCTGTGGTACTGTATGTGCAAGGACATTATTACTATTCAGCAGGTAGTGTAGTGAACTTTTGCAATGTCCAAACACCAGAACAGGTTCTACAAGGCACGCCAAGTTTTCATGGCTTTCCAAGTCTCCATGGGCTTTGGTGGAAGGACACCAAAGAGAATTGCCTTGAAGCTGCCTTCCCCAATCATTCTGTAGATAAGGACCACTTCTGCTGTGAGAAGAAAACAGTTTCCTTTTCTGGAGCAGCTTTGTCCCTATCCCCAGAAGTGGAGTTAGTGACTCTGAAAAAGGGAGAGAGAGGAAGTTTATAAAACTCACGGCAAGAGGCATGTTGTTTTGTTCTCCACCTGGGAAGAGGAGTTGATGCAGCACTCAGCCAGCCAAATTGTGAGTCTCACAGAGCATCCCTTTGTCTATTTAGCGACACAATATGGCCACAGAGAAGGGGGTACACATTTTCTTTGACTTGTTTATATGCTGCATCCATATTTCATCAATACATTCAATTAACTGTGTACTATTTTGGGAATAGGTGGTTTTGTTACTTCCTAAGTAGCATCAAATCTAAAGTCAGGTGCCTTGGCTGGATCAAGCCCCAGCTATATTGTATATTGATATATTATTTCATTTCTGTAATGCCCAATAGCTGAAGCTATTCATTAACCCATGGCTAGCCATTTCATCTGAACTGGGTCTAGAAGTAAAGGTCTAGAGACATGCTTTTGCTTTTAATGAAAGCTGCCTGTTTAAAGAGAGGCCTGAAATACCCCTGTGGGTCAGACCGCCCCCCACACATGCATCCTGGAGTTACTGTCCTGAGTAGCTTGCTGTGAAAGGAGGCACCGGCTGGCTTGGATCTCTCCACTCACCAAGCGATGCCCCCACTCCAAGGATGCTTCAGTGTCGACAAGACTCAGGCTTGCAGCCGCAGGACGTGATGTGACCTCTCCGTGCGTCTCTCCTTACCCTTGCCTCCCTTTCACGTTGCATTGGCAGACGATGAGCCAGTTTTTTAAGCTGCTGCCTTTCCTCGCCTCCTGCATGGCGTATTTCATCCTCTGGCTCCCTGAGCCCAGCATTGGGGGCACCATCCTCAAGTGCCTGCCGACCCTTTGCCTGAAGCTCTTTGTGGCCACAAATTCCTACAGCGCAGGTGCCTGGACACCGTACACCCGGCGAATATTTCAAGGCCTGCTGCTCTCGGCAGTGGGAGATGCCTGTCTGGTGTGGCCGAACACTTTTCTTGCAGGTACGGGCTTGTGGGGGCCTGGTAGAGGAGTTTTTTGAGGGGGCAGGGGTGGGCAACCTAACAACTGGGGAGAGAGTGGGTTGGCTGGAACTGGGGGCTTCTTCAAGGGTGCTGGAGGTTTGGCCAAAATATTAAAAAGTGCTGCCGCACTTCTCTGGGGGAAGGGTGTTGCCAGGCAGTTAAAAGATTGGGACTCCGATCCATAGAACATTCATCTGCATGACATTTGCATATATTGAATTAGAACTACATATGCAAATGTAGGCTTATTGTTAGGAGTTCACAGGAGGCAAAGGCAAGTAATTGGTTTCTCATATTCTCATTTTTTTTCAATTAATTTGCACCCTGCCCCAAATTATCCCCAGCAAATGGAAGAAAAGCTTTTAACAAGATCGGCTGTCATGCAGGAAGAGATTTCTTTGGGACAGGGGATTTACAACAGGCTGGGAGGGGAGGGCGAGCTCTTCTCTTCCCTTCCCTTTAGAACTCCTTCCTTGCATGGCAATTACCACAGAAAGAAATTCCACTCACTGATACTCAGAGCTCCGGGGCAACCCTCCACTGGAGGTCTGCGTTCTCCCCAACAATGCGCTCTATATTTTTCTCATCATTGCTGCCAAAGTCTGCTTCTCCTCATCCCCTTTCTCCCCTTTCCACATCCCATGCCCAATAAATTCCACACTGAATCCTTTCCCATCAATGTTTACTTTGTAATATAACCTGTTGTCTTTTTAGGACTTCACACAGCCTGGCCCTACCTGACCTCTTCCAGATGTACCAGTCTGCAATGCCCATCATCACTGACCATTGGTCACTGATGGCTGGGGGCTTATAGGCACTGTAGTCTAGCACATTTGCAGGGTGTCAAATATGTCCGTGAAAACTGATTTTAATAAGTGGGCTCTACAAAAAGATATTGCAGTGTAGCGTCTTCACTTCATGGCAGTGCTCCTGTTTAGAGTCCAAGACATTTCTTTGCCCAAGGCACTATAAGCCGGATCAGGCCAAAGTCGGCCGTCCCACTTCTTCCTATGATTCTTTTTCCAACTGACACTCAATATTCAGGCCATTTTTGACCCTTGGTTTTAATAATGAAAAACTTATTAAAAATAACTAAGTATCTCACACTTCTTTTGTTTCTTCGTGGCCTTAATTTTGCAATTGGGAAAGACACTGTGCTTTTCTGCACAAAGCTACTCATGTCTGCATCTGTGCTTGGTTTCGCTGCAGCATCGAGCTCTGAGCTTGACATGGAGGTCTCATATAACTTTTAGGTGGTGCTGTGTTACAGTTGAACACCTTTTCTTTCTTCATTAGAGATGAAACTTCACTTTCCCCACTCTAGACAAGCAAAGCAAAGCAAAGCAAAAAGCAAAGCAAAAAGCAAAGCAAAAAGCAAAGCAAAAAGCAAAGCAAAGCAGTTACTGTGAGCTTCTGCACTTATATAAAAGACAAGAGGATTTATTTCCCCCTTTTTGCTAATTAATATATTCAGAAAAAAATGTAATTGTGCTCTGTGCTGATATATTTTTCCTATTTCTTTTTTATAATGTACTTCCCATCATAGTTTTCCAGACAACCCCAGCAGCCAACAGTATCCACACTGAAACAACATCATAGACAAAAACTAGCAACTGCATGGAGCAAAGTCATGTCAAAGCAGCATGGGCAATAACACCAGCAGGGTTTAAATCAGTAACAAGAAGCTAGCTTACCTGCTAGAACTGGGCCAAGGTGACAAACAGTTTAGGCAGATCTGTCCAGTGGGTAAATTGCCATCCACTCACTTGCTCCATGGCATACCTCATCGTACCACATGAGGGCGCCAATGACACATTTATCACAAGTGCCAAATTTCCTAGAAAGATTTAAAAAACACAGGTTGAATGTGTGCATTGTTGCAATGTAACTCCCTTTGTAGGGGTAGAATGGAGACATTTTTCCCTTTGTTGGCATCGTGTCACCGACGTAGTAAAATCTAACTCATCTCTGGAATAAACAGATGAATCAGGCCTTTAGTTAAATGATGAATAAACACTTCAGATTAATCTGACGGGGGTGAATGCTCATGTGTGTACATGCACATTCGTATGTGCATGCAATTTTGAAAAAGAATATATTCGCTTACTTTGCAACACATTTATTAGCAGCTTAGGAAATGGAGAAGTAGCTCTCCAGAATTTTAGGAAAGGGTCTTGCCCAACCCTACGCTGGAAATTGAACCCGGACAAATTGCACACATCTCTGCCCCTTCCCTGAAGCTCTGAATTGTTAGTAAACACTGGATTCTCACTGGCTCCATATTTGTTAAAAGCAGGGCGTTTAAAGGCCAGGCCCATGGGCCAGATCCAGACATCTTGGGAGTCTCAATCCTGTCCTCGGTAGTTCCCCATGCCCTTCCCTCCATTCTTTTCCCCAATCACTGGGTAATTCCCCTGCTTCTGTGCAGTTTTCCCCCACCTTCTAAAAGGTTGAAAGGCTTAGGCCTTTTCTATTTGAGGTACTTATCGATGGTGCGTTCACAGTAATTTAACAGTTCTTTAGATGCCATGACTTTCCAGTTTTCTTTCTGTGTCTAACCAGTCTTTTCAGCAAATTTAAGATCAGGGAAATAGAGCATTTTATCATGAAAGCAAAAAAACAAACAAACAAACAAACAAACAAAACCCTTTATTTCATCTTGTATTTGTGCTATTCTACTATACCTCAGTGCCATCTAGAGGTTATGTAGTAGAGAAGCCATGAAGGAAAAGTTTGTGTAGTATATGGAGCTCAATTCTGTTAAGTCATCCTAAGATGTTCTGGAGGGGACAGGATAGAAAAGATTTTAATAAGTAAGTAATTAAATAAATAAAATTCTGCAATGAAACCAAAAATAGATAACAGATTAACAGCCAAACCTCACATAGGAATGCAAACTGGTCAAGTTCCCATGGCCTGAAAGAAGTTCAACGGCCACAGTTAAGTGGATATCCAGTAAGAATTATTTAAGTTTGGCCTGTGATGAATATCCAGATTTCTTGTTCTTTGGGTTAGTGGTATCTGGACGTATCTATGACATGAACAGTCTAGCTCAGTGATGGCGAACCTTTTAGAGACTGATCGCCCATCTGCGACCCAAAACCCACTTATTTATCACAAAGTGCCAACACTGCAATAAAACCTGAAAACTGAGGTTTTAGTTTAGAAAAAACAACTCACAGCCAGTCCAAGCAAATATATATGTAACCTTGGTAGCACACTGACTGGCCATACAAAAGCTCGGATGAGTCACGGCTAATGAGTCACGGCTCATGATGTAATTGCCTGACGCCACTACTCCTTTCAAAGCATGAGCAAGGCCCCTCTGTGCACTGTTATCCGATGCTCAGTTGCTGAGGCGATGCTGGGGTGAATTGGCTTGCATGCTGACAGAGAGGGCTCTGCTTGCCCGCTGTGGCAGGTGTGCCAGAGATTCGTCACCACTGCCCTAACCCTACCCTACCCTAACTGTAATACAGGGCTAAAGTTCCATTGACGAGAGGGTGATTTTGAAAAGGCCTTCCTTGAGTAGCTTTTCTGCACAGCTCAACATTTCTGCCCATTCTAAACACACTCCAACCATCAAAACCATGCCAGGACACCTCGTTTTTCTAACCCTAACCCTTACCTGGTGCACACCCCTAACCCTAATAGAGGGGTAAAATACCATTGAAAAGAGGGTGATTTTGAAGAAGTCTTCCTTGAGTAGCTTTTTCTGCACAGCTCATTGTTTCTGCCCACCCTAAACACATTCCAACCATCAAAACCATGCCAGGACACCTCATTTTTCTAACCCTAACCCAGTGACGGTGAATCTTTTAGAAACTGAGTGCCCAAACTGCAATCCAAAACCCACTTATTTATCACAAAGTGCCAACACTGCAATAAAACCTGAAAACTGAGGCTTTAGTTTAGAAAAAATAACTCACAGACAGTCCAAGCAAATATATATGTGTATATATATGTATACACACACACCAGGCAGTGCACTGACTGGCCATGCGAAAGCTTGAATGAGTTGCGGCTAATGAGTCACGGCTTGTGACATCATCGCCTGGCACCACTACTCCTTTCCAAGCATGCGCATGGCCCCTCAGTACGCTGCTATCCGATGCTTGGCTGCTGGGGCGATGTTGGGATGACTTGGCTCATGTGTTGATCAAGAGGGCTCTGTGTGCCCGCTGTGGCACACGTGCCATATGTTCGTCACTACTGGTCTCATTTAAAGTTGCTAGACCTTATGAATATGTATGAGCTCTGATGTCACACCTCTTCTCTCTCTCTCTCTCTCCCTCTCCCTCTTCACAAATTACAGAGCATTTTCACTCCAGTGTTATGCAGAAAACAAAATAAGTGCAATTGGAATGAATCAGAAGAGTGACTACACCTCTGGAAAATATGATGCACATCTGGCAGTCTGATTTGCTGTCTTTTCAGCACTCTTCCTCAAACAAGTGCCTTTTAGATATTATCACATTACTAACCCCATCATCCCCAGCTAGCATGATCATTCCTAAATGTAGCTGATATACTAACCCAAACTCCTGACTACAGCTCCCATCATGCTGGGTGGGGATGATATTAATTGCCATCTAACACATCGGAAGGGCATCAGTTTGGGAAAGTTCCAGGCTTGTCAGAATGTGCATCCCTATTTGATCTACATTCCCTCTGTCTTTTCTTTTCCTTTTTCCAGAGGGAATTAAGCAATGGACCACCTCACATGGGGGTCAGGCTGGCGCGACCCTCCCCCGTCCCAAAAAATCTGCCCTCCTTCCTGTAGGTGGGGGGTAGGGAATGTGTGGGGGGAGCTGCCCATAATCCCCCATGGTGAGGGTGGCTGGAGCTACAGAGAGATGCAGTTCAACAAGCGGGGGGGGGGGGGCGTGTTGCCCAGGGCTGCTGTAGGCGGCCAGCCGGCCGCCCCGCTCCTTCCCCACGTCACCGCGGTGTTTCCCTTTCCCTCCTTCGCAGGACTGGCCGCCTTCGCTGGATGCCACGCGTGCTACATCCTGGCCTTCGGCCTGCGCCCCTTGCGGCCCCTCACCTTGCTCGCCGTGGGCGGGGCGGTCGCCGCCGCCTACACCTTCCTGCTGCTGCCCTGCCTGAAGGGCCTGTACGTCTGGGCCGCGGCCGCCTACACGGGCCTGCTGGGCGTCATGGCCTGGCGCGCCTTGGCCCGCCGCGCAAGATGGCCGGCCGCCGCCGCGGGCAGCCTCTTCTTCGTGGCGTCCGACCTCTTCGTCGGCCTCGACAAGTTCTGCTCCAACGTGGCGCACGCGCGCGCCCTCATCATGAGCACTTACTACACGGCCCAGCTCTTGATCACCTTCTCGGCGGCCTCCCAGAGAACCTCCCGCAAGGAGAGCTGAGCCGGAGCGGGGCCACTCCGTGCCCGAGGGAGGCGTCCGCCCTCCGCGCTCCTCCCCGGCCACGTCGGCCACTCCTCGCATGATCCTGGTCGCTCCACGGGCCTCTTCTTGCAAGTAAGATTAAAGAAGCGAAGCGAACGTTTCACCAAGAAGCGGCATTTATCCCCAGAAGGAACCCTTTCCATTCGCTGCCCGACGGGTCTGCCGTGTGGTGTCTCGCCAGTGCGCTTGGCCACGTGCTTTCTCGCACTGGGCAGGAAAAGATGGCCTCCTGCAAGCTCTCGTTTTCCCGTCCTTTCTATTTAACAGGGGTGGGCAGCTGCGGGAAGTCTGGACACCCTCTTTGCCCCTCTGCAAACTGTTATTTACAAAAAAATAAAAAATGCAGGCTTGGTAGGACCAAAAGGGTCACACTTGGCTTGTTTGCAAGTTCAGTGTTGACCCTTTCAGGTGCTCCCTAGCCGGTTTTTCCTTGGAGTTATTCTCTGCTCTACTGCTGGATCCAGCAGGGTGCAGTGGGGGCTGCGGGTGGGCTACGCGTTGCTCCCTGCCCTGCAAGAATGGCTCCTTTTCTTTTCCAGGAAAATGCTCCTCCATTCTTTTTCTTAATTCATGCAAAGCATTCCTCCCCCCCCCCCCCCTTTCTGGGGTGGCCAGCACGGTGCAGCGCGTGCCCCGGTCGCCAGGGAGGCTGCAAAGAAGCGCGCGCACCACGAGGCTCGCTAAGGCGACTCTGCGCCACCTCCGCGCCTGTCGCGGCGCCGCCCCCCTTCCGCCTGGAAAGGCGCGGCATCAACAGGCGTCCGGACGAGGGGGAAGGGAAGGCAGCGGAGCGAGGGCGCGGCAGAAGGCAGCGTCCGCGGGGCAGCCGCCGAGCGAGCAGATGCTCGGGGAGCTGAAGCCGGGCAGTCGGCGCGGCGGGAGGGACGTGCGGCGAGGCGAGCCTCAGCTGGAAAGGGGGAAGGTGGAGCTGGCGTCGGAGCCGAGGAGCCCCGTCCCGTTTTCACTCCCCATTTTTGCTTCCGCGTATTCCCCTCCAGAGACAGCTAAAATAACGGTGGTGGTGCGGCGGCGATGAATCTTGCCTTTTCACAGACGCATCTGCTCATTTCCCTCCAGTTTGCCTCGTTTCCCCTCCCGCTCCGTTTACTCTCCCCCTCCTGCTTTGCGCCCCCCATCCCCTTTCCTCTTGCGCCTGCCCTCCCCCTCCCCCTTTCTTCTCCCAGCTGGTATAGCAAAGTTGTGGGGAGTGCGGGGCGACCCACCTGGGTGCCCGTGAGAGAGACAGCGGTGGCAGTGGCTGGCTAGAGTGACTCCGTGCAGTTTTACTCAGAAGTAAGCCCCGCTGAGTTCAAAGGGACACACTCTCATGTAAGCATATCCGGATTCCAAGCGCAATGTAAACCTTTTGATCATCCATAGCAAACAAGCTGCATTTGACTTTTTGAGTGCTCTGTAGGGTCTGTGGATGCAATTTTTAAAAAGGTGTTGTTTAAAGCATGGTTGTGTTTCTGTGTGGTGTGTGTGTGTGTGGGGGGGGTGTCCACATGCTGCCACTTTTCAGAATTTGTGTTTGTGTGTGAGAGAGAGGGAAGAGCCAACTAGTAAAAGAGGATACGGATCCTGCACCTGTCACCTTTTGCGGTTCCAAAGCAGCTGCAGCCTCTTCCCACTTTCTCCTCTTCAGCATCTGGTAACCTTCGCAAAGGCAGATGCGACATGCAGTGCAGTCCTACATAGATCCACTCCAGGGTAAATCTGGAGAACTTCCAGGTGCCTGGATTAGAGCCACGGACAGGATGGGTTTGGCATCAGGGTCTGAACTTCAGAAGTCTGCTTTGGAGCAGTCAAGTCCTCCAGCCCAATGTCCCCCCATATGTGGCCATTGGTGGGTAATACAAGACAAGGAATGAGCAGCCTTGTGGTCTGGTGGACTTTGGGTCACAACATTCTGTCCTGGGTTTACAGTGACCTGAGGCCCTGTGTGGATGCACCAGAAAAATGTGCAAATCCACAAAAGGCTCAGTCATGCCATTTGGGGCCAACTAGAATGCCACAACACATTATTTACTTACTTATTTATATCTATCAAAGTACTCAAAAGTGGCTTACATCATTCCCCTCCTCTTGTGCTCAATCTTACCCCACAACTCTGTGAGGTGGGTTGGGCTGAGAATCTGTGACTGGCCCAAAGTCACCCAGCTGGCTCCATGGCTGAGCCAGATTGCCTGAGTCCCAGTCTTAACCACTACACCGCACGGAACTGTTCTTTTGGATGGATGCCAAATGAAGCAAGGTGGGGAGGGAGAGAGGAAATGCTGAACCTAAAGGTTGAAGCCCAAACTGCAGAATTCTGCCTTCCCAACTTTTTCCCTTCCTCAGAAGAGGGTTGTAGGATGCAAACCTTGCACAATAATTGAGGGATGTTTTGGCCGATCCCACCCAAGGGTGCCTTGCTCTATATTAGAGGCATGCAACCTATTTTCCTTGGAGGACTGTGATTCCCTGGTGCCTGCAGGTGAATCTGTTTCAGCGCACAAGCAATAAGCAGCTGAAAGCTCCTGTCACCCAAGCTGGAAGAAGGATCACGCTTCTTTGGGCAGTGGAGCAGATCTGTGGTCCAACCCGCACCTGGCCTGGTCTGGGTGGAGGCTTCAGAGGAATCCCTTGTTTCTGTGCCTGCGCATGGGCCGGTCCTGGATCATCCCCAGCTCTGAGGGGGATGATGGGAGAGTCTAAGGCCACCTTCCCTCAGAGTGTGACAATGAATGGAGTGGAGGATGTTCTTGTAAACTGCCTTAAGTTCTTGCATAGGGAGGAAGAAACAGTGGGATATACATGTAATACATATTCTGCAGTCAGGGGGAGATTCACAGAAAAAAGGAAAAATCAGAACACCAGAACCATGGTGGCCACTGCTGTGACCCCCAAAACGGAGAGCTGCTGCGGCTGGGAATCCACTTCCTCCTGGTGATGGGTGTGTGGGAAGGAGTGGACACGGGAGCGGCCCAGGCTAAAGGGAGCAGGTGGCACCTCCAGCAACCGAGCGGAAAGTGCAGGAATGCAACTCTTGCAAGGGAGTGGGGACTTGTTAATCCAGTTGCTTGCTGGCTGATGGCATCTTACATCCTCTGTCCAGAAAGGGCTGCGTTGTCCTTGCTGATGGTAAGTGGATTTTTTTAACCCTGAAACTAACGCCAGCTACTCATCCACAAGTGACTATTGCTTGCAGTCTTCGTGGATAGACTGATTCCTACTGTAGAGCTGGCCAGACTGGTTTGTGCTAATTTTATTTCTATTACCACCTGGTTGCTGAAACTCTCAAGGTGGTTTGCAGTAATTCATGAAATGCAATGCAG